AAGAAACCAGCTTACCCGTAGAAGAAATGGATGTGGTAATGCAGATTTCGACTTATTAATCAAAATTTAACCCGCAGTTGTAAACGTCACCACATCGTATCCACTCCATGTAGCTAAACTGGGATACAATTGAGTTAGTGCACGGTGAGTTTGGGAATTGGCCTTAATTCAAGATATTTTGAGGAAGATTAAACACCGCAGAGTAACTTTCTTTTCCACCTTTATGGTCAATCATGTTCTCAATAAAACTTTTTAAAAAAGTTTGTTTCTAACTAACAGTGTCCAAATCGTACCCTCTGTCCATGAAATAATGTGTAGAAAAAGCATCTAAATTTATAACAAACCGGAGGATAAAATGATGGCGAAACTGGTGTAACGTTATATCAATCCACGATTCACGTGAAAATCTTGCCAGCAATTTTAGGAATTTGAAACTGCCATTTTAATTGACGATAAAGCTACTTTTGATCAATCCTAAAAAAGCTGTCAGTGCTCTACGACCTCAACAACTTGAAGGTGAATGCTCGTGGCAGAAAAATTAAACACGCGAATGTTAGCAGTGAAACAGAGTGGAGAGCAACAGATTAAGTTTTTGGCGCGTGAAATAACTTAAAAGCGTGAGTCACATGGGATACACTAAATTCACAGAACATCTCGAGCTCCGCGAAACATGCTATTTATCACTTGTGCTTAACGCAAGCGCCTCATATAGGTGGCAATGAATGACGCAAACAGGAAGGAACATATAATCCAATCAAAATGTTATGCATTGTTAATACCTTAGTTGCCCTTAGAAACTATTGCGTTTGCAGTAATTTGAAATCAATATTAATAATAATATTGATAATAAGGGTTTCCTGCTAATGCTAATCTCAGCTCATTTTCAAACAGGTAAACCGACTGTCCTTACGCAACCGTACTTTAAAGACCTATACGATTAAGTACAGCAAAGACTTAATACGTTGCTTGTACATGAAATGTTTCAAGATAACCTTAATATATTCCCACCTAGAAAAACGATGGATGTTTTTTTTCGTAACCACCATGCCAATGTTTATCCAAATCCCAATTAACCACATGTGAGGTTTAAGTAATAGAAGATATCTACATTGAAGCTGCCTCGGGAGTGCCTTATGATCATAGTAGACTCTGTAAAAAAGTAATAAATATGACGTCATCGTGAACACAACAAAACCAATGAACCGTGTTGTGGCACATACTGTTTAGCAATAAAAGCCCGAGGTAGGTAAGTAACCCTGTTGGTGAAGTCAAAATCAAGAAAAAAAAATTCGAGAAAGTGACGAGTTATAGAGAAGCAATAATTAGGCGGAAAAAGGAAAATACAGGCCTTTAAGCTACATTGCCTCGGTTCAAGACTTGGCCATCATGAAGAAGAATGACTCAAAAAGCGTTCAAAAGAATAGTACTTGAAGATAGACCATCATTACAGTATTTAGTCGACTACTTTGAATATGAATCTGGGTAACACGAGAGTGGAAACCAGATTACATGGACTACATAGGTCTGGTCAAATAAATCCTATCTTCTACGTAGATTTCTTGAAAAAGGTTATTTACATGGGGTCGCCTCCCGCAGATTTCAAGGGCTAAGGGAGTGTTCATTCACATATAAAAAAAAAAGATACCTCGCCCGAAAGTCCCGCTGCAAACACGAATTATCTTGTCCGCGTATGGAAGGAATTTAAAAGGCTAACGGTTACTATAACATTATTAGACAGAAGTGTAGTAAATTAAAATAATAGGCAATAAAATCTTGGCTGCGCATTTTGAAATTGTATGTGATTGATTTACTATATTGTAACCAATGCATAAAATCGAAACTACCAATTATTAGCCAAATTACTTTGGGCCATTTAAAAATGTTGTGAGTGCACAACAAGGATTAGCACATAACAGCAGTGAATGCCAGAGCTTACTAGTCACATTTATTCTACACTAGGATCTTCCTTCTGTTTACATAGGCCGGTACGCGGCCTTAGGTTTATACTTCTAACTTAGCGTCCCGATACTTCCATGAAGGCGAAAGAAGACGTAATACTCGGGCAGAATATGCACACTTGACATAGAGATGGTATGTGTGCCACTAGCTTGGTCCGAAGGCCAGGCCACCCAGCGCCGTTCAATTGTAGTTCTTACGTTGTTTTAATGTGCTTTTGAGAGAGGAGGCAGGCAGACACGTCGAACCTCGTGACTTAGGTGTCAACGTCCTGCAACCTTAAAGGCGGTTCCGTGTCCACACCTCACCAAAATCCATACCTACTTCTCCCATTTACTTATCCTACTAATCATGTCGACGCCAAATCAACCTTGGTGTTGACTTTGAATGGTTTTGGGGTTTCTGAAAGATCGGGGTCGCTCAAAGTTCCTGCCGCTTCTTGGTTGCGAGCTTGACCAGTTGACCGAGCGAGTTGGTGTTTGTATCGCAGAGCTTCTCAACCAAAGCGGGAGGTCTGACTCCGTGTCTGTCAACGATCTCGTTTGGAGGACAGCCACTGAAAGCACGCTCCGCTAGGTGTTAAAGGTTCTTAGCGGAGGAAGAAGCCTTTGGCGAGGGTTTGTTCTTCCCGACCAATGACGAGTTGAGCCAACGTATCGCAGCATTGATCAATGTTGGTGTCGTCGGTAATGTCGGCGTTTACTGCAGCCAAAAATTAATCATGGGGAGAGCGCGGAGAAATGGATGTATTCTTTGGCACCGAGGATAGCGATGGAGGTTGAATTTAGCAGTTCTCACCCAGTTTCCCAAGTTCATATCATCTCCGAGAGGAAGTCCGCCGACGCTGCCAGCAGTGTAGGGCGAGGCTCGTAGATCCCCTCCTCCCTGATCCCCTACTCTTAGAACACCCAGGTCGATTTGGCTTCTACATGTTTATTAGAATAAGTAAATGGGGGAAGTAAGCATAGAGTTTGGAGAAGTATGAACGCGGAACCGCCTGTGGGGTTGAAGGACGTTGACCCCTCAGTCACGAAGTTCGACTTGTCTGCCTACTTCCTCTCTCAAAAGCAGATTAAAACAAGGTAAGTATGACACAATGGCCAAGTCAAAAGTAGCTTCTCACTAAAGCCGAGAGATAAACAACTGTGGTATTTTATTAATATCAAAATGTTCTTATGAAAAATTTAAATGTACTTCTCTTAGTTCAACCTGCACTAGAATCCTTTTGAATCTGAAATATTTGGTGCAATAGGAATCTTCAAGCATTCAAGCCATACCTTAACAATAAGAAAGGATATTTTCGGCGATATTTAAAACTGTTATCTAAGCTTGTTAATGAGTTATTTGTCATTTTTTGTAAATTCTAGGCTTAATAATCAGCCCGCTCGTTTTGATCAAACCTTTGCCACATTCGCGCTTAATTCCAAACCCGAAATTGTCGCCTTCCTTATTAATCTGCTCCAACTTTTGCCTGTAGTTTAATTGGCTAATACGATGTTCTTTTGGATTACAGTCATGAAGAAGCATAATTTGTAATTACGGCTGCGTCCACACGAGTAGTTCCGCAAGCTTAAAGATGACAGCGCCAAGACAGGTACTGTTTTGCTAGCGTACAGAAGTGGCGTGCCGCTAAGCAGAAGTACTATTTCTATTATAGCAGGTTCCTATGTAATAAAAGCAAAGGGCTGACCATAGCGCTCTTTTTTTATTCGTCATACAGGCGCTTTCCCTATAAATCTCCAGCGTCGGCTATCCAGGCTAAGAAAAACATTCACGAACCAACTGTCTCATTCACCGTACTCTTGTGCAACTAAGAAAATGTTTGACTCCAACATCACAAGTACATCTTGGCTATTCCGTTAGATCTTTCTAGGAATCTTATTAAGAATGGTAAATGAACTGTCCTTATGCTGACGGAGACTGGATAATGCTCTACAAGGAAGTTATCTTGTTTTACCATCGGTGGTCTAAATGCGGAGTCATTTAATAAAGGAAGGTGTTTAAATAGTTTTTGCAAAGGTTAGGTTTCGGTTTTAATCCTCCTTGCTGTTTTGCTTTGACTTCAGTGCGTCTTAGCCATTTTCATTAGATTTCTGTCCAATTAGCAGAGAGGTAAAGAAGATATCGCGCATTTCCTCTTTTGAAATTGCTATGCGGACACCTCAGGCAACTCATTTACGAACTTTTCCAGGTGGTTCACGGCTAGTGTCGGTGCAGGTGTTTGTAACATTCCTGCAGAACACGAAACTGGAGTAGACGTCGGAGGCAGACCTTATTTTCAACTCTTCTGTTGAGAGCCTCTGAAGATTCTCTCATCAGCAGCAGACGCGCTTCTTTAGTTACGCTAAGTTTTGGCATCCAGGATTAGGAACTAGAGTAGTTATTTTCTAAAGGCCACTT